CCGTACACGTGTAATCAACGAGCGGCTAGGATCCTCCCTAAGATCCGAAGCGTCGGAATATTTGAATTTTCCGACGATAAATCTTCCACAGCGGTTATGTTTTCCCACGAATAGGAAGTCGCCACGCGTCCAAAGCAAATCGAATGAACTTCTCTGCCAGGTCGAGATTGGACCAGACAGAGAGGGGGCCAATGTTTGGAGAAGAAAATACCCTGGACACGTGGAGGACCCCTATTGATGCTCCAAGATGACTCATGAGTCATCTCAGCTCGGATAGCCGAGATGGCCGCCACTAACGTCGACAAATGCAAAGTATGAGGGCCGAGGTGAACCTGGCCCAGGTCCGACCTACCGGGGAGCTCGGTAGGGGCCAATGTGAGCAACTGTCAGCGGCGTGATTATCGGGCGTAACCGTCGGTCCCGAGATTACCGGGTGTAACCGTCGCGAGATTAGCGGGACTACCACCCATAAGTAGAAGGCCTCACTCCACGATCAGGTACGATGATTTCTGACCTCGAACTAAACTGGGAATCCGACTTATACTGACTTGATCGTCGAAGTGCTCACCTTTTTGTGCAGGTCCGCGCAAGTGTTCAGATCGGCCCGGAAGCCGAGTTCGAGTTGCAATCTGAAATACATTGTTGTGCATATTCTTGCATAAACAATTTGGACCCTAATTAGTGTTATAAAAATTGAAATAAAGAGAAAATAAAACTGATTGAGACCATCAAGCAAAATAGAAAATAATTGTAGTATGTTTGACAATTTAGATAAAAAAATATTCAGAAAATAATTATATGGCGAATACGGATGTAGGATGGAGTGATATGAATAAATTTTCAAAAAATGGAAAATCTATTTTTTCTCTTAAAAATAGGGTAAACTTGTAACTTCAAGTATTAATTTCAAATCCTTCCAAATCCAACCTATTTGGAACGGAAAATTTTTTTTGACAAAAATCTGATTTTAAATGATTTGTGATTTCAAATTCGTTCCGTTTCTTTTTGCACCAAACAATGGAAATGATTTAAAAATCAATATGATTTGCAAGTCGTTGTAAATCAAGAGTTTCAAACAGGGGTAAACTTTTCAAACTGTTATTTAAGTACTTTAAAGTGTGTTTATTTTTAGTCCATAAACCTAAAAGAAAAGAAAAACAATCATTTTGGTGTTTGATAAAGTTTAAATATTACATACCTCCAGCCATAGCAATCAAATTTGGAAATCAATTAAAAATATCGCACCGTTGCTAGCCTATCAAATGCTTTAATCCATGTCTTGATGGAAAATACAGACTTACTCTGTTAGGCTAGAGACCCTAAGTTTTCTATAAAAAGATCCAAGTTTTTTTTGTAAAAAAATCTCTCCTCCAGAAGAATAAGATGAGATAAAATCATTTTAAAAACGTAACCACCTAACCACCTATAACGTAGATATTTTTGGGTGGTGGGTAACTAGATAGGAGGCCAATTCAAATTTTTACAAAATATTTCAATAATAAAATAATAATATATATAACGAAATTGAATGACTTACATTCTCCCACTTGGCCCACTAAACATAACAAAATCTCCAAACAACTTTATACTCAAATAAATCATTTGAACACAAGGATCATGGCCGTAAATTCTCTTATAAGTTAAGAAGTACCTTCCATGTATTACTATGTATTCAACCGACTTGGAATAGTACACTATATGTGGCTCATTATTGCTTTTTGAATGAACTTCTAATGTTCATTCAGGATTTTACTTTATTTCAGCAACCTTATTGTCATTCTCCAAATTTTATGTATACAAACAAATATGACAAATATAATATTGGAGTTTTTCATTATTAAAATACTGTAATAAAATGAGTGTCTCAATTAAATAAAACTGAGTCCCATATGACCTACATGTTCCTTATATGACTTAGGTGCTAAGTCCTTTGTCAATGGATCTACAATCATTGACTTAGTGTCAATATGTTCAATGAACACCTCATTAGACTTAACACACTCTCTAATAGCTAAGTACTTAATGTCGATGTGCTTACTTCGACTTCCACTTTTGTTATTCTTAGCCAGATACATAGCAACGAAATTGTCACAGTATATCTTTAATGGCCTGGAAATAGAATCCACTATTCCAAGTTTAGAAACAAAACTCCTGAGCCAAATAGCATGTGATGTTGCTTCATAACAGGAGATAAACTCGGCTTCTGTAATCGAAGTGGCTATTAGTGTATGCTTTTCACTTCTCCAGGAAATAGCTCCTCCAGTTAGTAAAAAGACATATCCCGATGTCGATTTTCTGCTATCAGAACATCCAGCAAAGTCTGAGTTTGAATATCGAATCACTTCTAAATGATCAGAATGTCTGTAAGTAAGCATGTAATGTTTCATTCCTTAAAGATAATGCATCAATTTCTTTCCAACTCTCCAATGATCCATGCTTGGTTTACTTTTATATTTTCCCAACATTCCCATCACAACTGCTATATCAGGTCTAGTACAAACCTGAGTATACATCAAGCTTCCTGCTGCATAACCATAAGGAATGTTTTTCATTTGTTCCTTTTCAAGGTCATTTATTGGGCATTGACTCAAATTAAATTTGTCACGTTTAATTATAGGTACCAAACCAAATGAACAATTTTTCATACAAAATCTTTCAAGAACTTTATTAATATAGGTTTCTTGAGACGGTCCTAATAGCCTTTGAGCTCCGTATCTTTTAATTTTTATGCCAATGATATAAGAGCTTCACCCATATCTTTCATATCAAAAGTTCTTGAGAGAAACTGTTTCACTTCATAGAGTAAGCCCAAATCGCTTGAAGCAAGCAAGATGTCATCTACATATAGGATTAAGAAAACAATTTTGCTCTCACTAACATTATGGTATATACATTGATCCATAATGTTTTCTTCAAAAACCAAATGAAGTAATGACATCATGGAACTTTAAATTCCATTGGCGAGAGTCTTGCTTTAACCCATATATAGACCTTCTAAGCTTACATACTAAGTGACTATTTTTACTTGAGGTGAACCATTCAGGTTGTTTCATGTATACTTCTTCCTCTAAATCTTCATCTTGGAAGACTATTTTCACATCCATTTGATGTAGTTCTAAATCAAACTGAGCTACTAATGCCATGATTATCCTAAATGAGTCCTTTGAAACTGGAGAAAAGGTTTCATATAATAATCAACTCCTTCTTGTTGAGCGCAACCTTTGGCTACAAGTCTTGCCTTATATCTTTCAACATGGTTTCTAGAATCTCTTTTGGTTTAAATACCCATTTACAATCAATGGTCTTTGAACCTTCAGACAATTCGACAAGATCTCAAACTTGATTACTAGCCATAGATTTCATCTCATCCTCCACGACATCATACCATAATGTGGATTTGATTCCACTCATAGCTTGTGAAAACGTAATGGGGTCATCCTCAGCACCAAAGTCAATATCAGATTCTTGTAAATACACTAGATAGTTAGAAGGAATAACAGACTTTCTTGTTCTTGTAAATCTCCTTAATGTTACATCAACATCCTCTCTTAGAGAATTTTTGCTAACAGGATTTACATAAACAATATAACTTTTGCTAAGTTCATCATTATATAGTTGTTCAAAATTTTCTAATTCTTGATGATTATCTTGAACCACTACAACTCCATTTGATGAATCGGGAATGGAACGTGTTTCTTGAATTTCCTCAAAACATAAATTTCAAGGTTGGCTACTCCCACTAATCACCATTTTCTAGAAACCTTGCATTTGGTGAGTTTACTATTCTACTTGCATTGGATGGACAATAAAACCTAAAATCCTTAGATCCTTTTACATAGCCAATGAAATGACCAATAATTGTTCGTGAGTCTAATTATTTCTTCTCATGTGGATTACATACTCTATTTCAGCTGGATAACCCTATGTATGTAAATGCCTTAAACTAGGTTTTCAACTCTTCCATAACTCAAAAGGTGTTTTATGAATTGCCTTGGTTGGAACTCTATTTAATACATACACAGCTGTTTTAAGGGCTTCACTCCACAATGACAATGGTAACTAGAGTTACTAATCATGCATCTTACCATGTCCATTAATGTTCGGTTTTGCCTTTCGGCTAATTTCTTAATTCTCTTAATGGAGATATGACCTAATCTCCTATACCATAACATGGAAGACTTTTTCTTCATAACATTTCGCTTTAAACCGCCGTTAACATGCATAGACATAAGGTTGCAATCAAAAGTAGATGAACTACCACAAAAGTTAAGGACATATCCACAAGGTAAAAGTTTAGAAACCGAAATTAGGTTTATGGAAAAAGTAGTTTTTTCAAGGTCCAAAACAAAGCCGGTAGACAGAATAAGACGACAGGTTCCAATAGCTTCCACATGTGATCTCATCTTGTTTCTGATGGCTTAGGAAGCCCTGCATGGTATTAGCAATATGAATTGTAAAACCAGACTCAATCCACCGTGTGTTATGAGAAATTTCACACATATTAGATTCATATATAACATACATAAGAGACGAGTGTACCTTTCTTTTCAAGCCATTATATGTATTTGGGCCAATCTTTCTTCACGTGTCCCTTCTTTGTACCAAAAGAAAACATAGGAATGCACCCTTATTAACTTGATTAAGAGGTGTCTTTCCTTTCCCCTTGTTGACAGCTTTCTTACCACGAGTCGCCACGTGTGCACATTCAACCATTTCCTATTTCAACCATGTTTCTTCTTGAACAATTATGATCAAAAGTTCATTGATTGACCATTTTCCTTATGTTTGTTATATGAAATGTTAAAAGGTCCATATTCTGAAGGAAGTGGATTAAGGATGAAGTGAACCATAAAAGACCAAAAAATCCCTATCTCTAACGTCTTAAGTTCAGCAGCTATATCCCTCATTTACATTATGTGCTCACGTATACCTTTGTTACCATCAAACTTCATATATGACAATTGATTCATTAAGGTACTTGTCATTGCCTTATCAAAAGTAACAAACTACTGCTCAATAGGATCAAGATGTTCCTTGACTTTAGCACAAATCGGAATCGAACCACGAATACTTTTACCCACATGGGACTTGATAAGCATGATACTTAAGCGGTTGGATCTCTCCCACTGTTCATATGCTACTTACTCATTTTGGGTACTTAATTCTATAGGTATTGGTGGTTCATCAACACGTAATGCCAAGACAAGGTCCATGCACCCCAATGTTGAGAACTTTCTCTTTCCAATCCTTAAAATTGTCACCACTTAAAAATGGGATACGATATGATTTAGAATTAGGAATAATTAAATATTGAACTGCAAAATAAATAAATATCAAGCTTACAAACTGTAATGAAGCAAGTAAATTTTACCCATGTAAACTAATCCAATAATCAAATAATTGAATGTTGTAATTTACTTGTAGGCAAAAATTATAATATTCAAGTATACTTCATCATGAGGCTAATATTCATTATACCAATAAGAATATATATAAAAATATATTCTAGACCTGTGGGCTACTAAAATTTCCAAAAATATATGCATGTTTATCGTAATAAATAAAATATTATCTCATTTTAATTAAATATAAAATAAAAATAATTTTTCTGTTGGAAAATTAATTTAAATTTTATATTCAATTACAAATATTGATGTCATTTCAATAAATTAAAAAATAGTAAAATATCTTAAAAACATTAGAATAATTAAAATGCTATTGCTACTATTTAATTACTTAATGTTCCACCAATGACATCAAAATAATTAATTAATCTTTATATCATTTTAATGACCAACATTTAAGCATATAACAATGCACATATGTAACATAATTTAATATAATATTATGCAATATATTTAATTATGTGCAATATATTTCAGTGTGGTTGAGAAATCTGAATTTTGCGAGAATTATTTTGGAGAAAGGGGATTGGAGTTCACCCAATGGTGATGGGTCTTCGCTTAGCTACAATTTGTCAGCTTCAGCAAGAGGGCTTCAAGCCTGAGGGAAAATCTTATCATCTCACTGTTTTCTTAAATCAAGAAGCTAAAATGTGCTTAGTACTCAAAGCCTTTGCCTCTTGACTTTCAATTTATCCATAGCTTGGAAGCTAAGCTAGATGGTCTTTTAGAGGAGGAGGAAATCTATTGGATGCGAAGGTCAAGAGAGGATTGACTTAAATGGAGAGATCAAGATACAAAATGGTTTCATAAAAAAGCTTCTCTTTGAAGGCTGAAGAATACTATTCAGGGCTTTAGTACGGGTGTTAGTAGGTGGATCGAAGATGAGGGGGAAATCGAACAGGAGTTTATTGATTATTTTGGGAGAATCTTTCAATCTTCTTTTTTGTTGAACAGTGATTGTGAAATGGTTCTCCAACATGTTACCCTGAAGATTACGAGCAAAATGAATGTGCGGTTGTTGGCTCCTTTAAAAAAGAAGAAGTGGAAGCTGCCATTAAAGAGATGTTTCCAAGGCTCCGGGTCCGGATGGCTTTCCGACCGTATTTTACCAGTCTTACTGGGATATTGTGGGTCCAAAAACCGTAGCAAGTTGCCTGGATGTTTTGAACAAAAGGAGGTGAGTGGAAAAGTGGAATTCGACAAATATAATGCTTATCCCAAAGGTTGATAGACCTAAGGAGGTAACTGATTTCAGACCCATAAGCTTATGTAACGTGTCTTATAAGATAGTTACTAAGGCTATAGCAAATTGTTTGAAGTGCTCAATGATATTATCTCCGATAGTCAATCGATTTTTATCCTGGTGCGTTCTATTCATGATAATATTATTATTGACCACGAGTGCTTACATGCTATGAAAGGTATCAAACAAGGCAGGGAGGGTATGGTCGCTCTGAAGTTAGATATGAACAAAACCTATGACCGTGTGGAATGGTGTTTCGTTGAGAAAATGATGGTAAAATTGGGGTTTGCCAAAGAGTGCTTGAGATCTAATTATTATTCATTGCCTGTCGACGGTCAAATTTTTTGTGGTGATTAATGGTGAAGCTCGGGGGTCTGTTCTTCCTTCTCGCGGGCTGAGGCAAGGGGACCAAATTTCTCCCTATCTCTTTATTATTTGTGCTGAAGGATTATCTCAGTTGTTGTAGGATGCTACGACCAAAGGCATTATTATCGGCTTTTCTATTACTGAGGAATGCCCTAAGATCTCTCATCTCTTTTTGCTGACGGTTGTTTACTTTTTATTCGAGTGGATCCAACAAAATGTTTCTTTTTAAAGCGGATCTTGGCAGATTATGAGAGGGCGTCGGGTCAAAGTGTGAATTATGACAAATTTGTGGTTTGTTTCTCTCCTAATATTATAGTAGAGAGCGGTACCTACCTGCAATCACTAAGTTAGGATGGTGGCAAATCTGGACTCTTATTTAGGGTTGCCTTTGGTGCTCTCTAAAAGTCGTAAATCAGATTTTAGATTTGTGAAGGAGCGGATTTGGAAGATGTTTCAAGGATGAAATGGTCAATTTTTCTCTTTTGGGGAATAGGAAGTCCTTATTAAAAGTGTGGGCCAGGCAATCCTAACGTATACTATGAGCATCTTCAAGTTACCAAAGACGTTTTGCTTGGAGATCACATCTTCTTTTGAGAGTTTCTAGTGGGGATCTTTGGATACACATCGTTGGATCCATTTGATGAGTTGAGAGAAGTTGTGCTATCCCAAAGAGCTTGGTGGGCTGAATTTTAGGGATTTAGAGGGTTTTAATAAGGCGTTGTTGGTTAAGCAAGTTTGGAGATTATTGTGCAATCCGAACCTTCTTGTTGCAAAGGTTCTAGCTGAGAGTTAATTTACGCTACTGAGAGTATTCTGGAGGCTTCGTTTGATCCCAAAGCTTCTTATCTTTGGAAAAGCTTTCTCTGGGGTGGGGAGCTGTTCAAACAAGGATGAGGAAGAGAATGGGGGATGGCTACTCGATTGATGTGTTCAAGGACAGATGGCTTCCTAGGGAAACATTGTTGAAACATTTAAGATAGCTCAAGTCTACTGACAAGTTGTTTGTTGCAGATGTTATTGATGCTCAGGGCCACTAGGATGAGTAGAAACTGAAGTTTTTTCTGTGTCTTGAGGATGTGGAGCTGGTTAAATATATTCCTCTTAGTTATTTCAATTAGTGTGATGAGTGGTTATGACATTATGATAAGAGGGGGATTTATAGTGTGAAAAGTGGATATAAACTATTTATGAATCTTAAAATTCATAGTGTGAACAGAAAAGACAAATATTGAAAATGTATTTGGTTCTACTCCTACTAAAATCAAATTATTCCTATGGAGGGCTCTACACAGTTGTTTACCGACAAGAAGTAATCTCAAGAATAAGGGTATAGAGTTGGTACCTGTTTGCCTAGTTTGCTCTGCTAAAGGGAGACAGTCACCCATGTCTTTGTTGAATGTTCGCGTGCTAGAAGCGTCTGGGAGTGTTGTTTGCCTTTATCATCAAGAAGCTTGGCAAAAGGCCCAGATCTTCGGTGGTACTGGGAGCAGATGATGGAGGTGCTGTCGAGAGAGGATCTTAAATTAGATACAGTAATGTTTTGGGCGATTTGGAATGACAGGAACAATATCAGTAATAATAGGTAAATTCCTGAAGTTTCTATTAAAGGAGAATGAATTCTTCAATACATGTAATCTTTTAGAAGTGTGAATGCTAGTAAAAGGGGAGATGTTTTGGGGGCACTTTGGAGGGGTTTCCTTCAAATTTAGAGGTGAGCTTGCTTCCTGTGCAGGAGGGCATGGTGATTAATTCCGATGCAGCCTGTAACATTTCATTGTCAGTGACTGGAATTGCGATTTCAATTCGTAGAGGTACTCATCTTTCGGAGGTTGCCATGTCCAAATTTGTGAGCATCAGGTACAGTACCCTCCATGCTGAGTTGATGGTGATTAAGGAAGATATTCGTCTTGTTTTCAGGATGAATTTCAGTGCTGTGGTGGTGGAATCTGACGCTTTAGAGACGATTCACCTTCTAAATAGAAGGGAGATGAACAAATCAGAAGCTGGGATTTGGGTTTTGAGGATCCTTGAGCTTGGGAGAAATTTTGAAATGGTGGAATTTCGTCATATCCGAAGGATTCACAATGAAATTGCAGATTCTTTGACCAGAGAGGTTGTCCGTTCGAGGTCCACTTTTCTTTGGGTGGATCACTTCCCTTTGTGGCTTTCCCGTAAGATGACTGAGTTTCAGTCCTTATTTGTAGCCCTAGTAGCATCTTATTCGGTTTAATTTGGTTTTGCCTGTGTTGGTTTCAAAAAAAAATAAAATTATGTGGATATTATATACAAATGCCTATTAAATAATCAAACATGTATATTAAAAGATCACATAAAATACATGAAACTGTATAAATAAGATACAGTAGGATTTTGTATAAACACATGATACTTATAATCCTGTATAAACATACAGAATATCAAATAATAAATTTTCAAAATTAAACGAACAGTAAAATTTTGAAAACTAAAACATAATATAAACCTCATGATCAAGAATTCTAGCAAAATAAAAAACTCAAGCAGAATAAAAAATTCTGATTTAGCAAAAAGAAAACACTACTGCACATACAAAACCAAAGTTAGAGTATATATATTAGTATATTTTATATTATTGTATTAATATGTATTAATTTGTCATTTACCTACTCCTTATAGGATTAAATCAACCTTGTATATTTGTCAATATATATAGACTTAAATAATGAGAATAGACTACATTGGATTCTCTCCAACCTTAGTCTCTACATGGTATCATAGCTCTAGGTTTCTTTTAAAATTTTTGAACTTAGGTTTTGATGCCCATTAGGTTTTTGTGCACATTAGGGTTTTGTGCCCATTAGGATTTTGTGCATTAGGGTTTTGTTCATTAGTATCCAACTCAACTCACTACTACCGTTGTCGCCACCCTGTTGCCGTCAGCCCCTATGGTTGTCGTGGGTTAGCATTTAAGGTTTCTAGTTTCAGAAAACACCTGGTCCAGTTCAAGTGGTCTGGTTCAACCGATTTGATTCAAGCCATTTGATTCAAGCAGTTTGGTTCATTTGTTTTGTTTGGTTCTGTTCGGGTGGTTTGGCTTGGTTTTGTTGTTTTGTTCAAATAAGTTCATTTGTTTATTATGGCTAAGAAGAAATCAACCGTAACATATGAGGTGATCCCAATGATATCGAAAATCATAGAACATAAGTTGAATGGATCAAATTATTCTTCATGGAAAATCAATGTTCGTATTTTTTTCCTAAGTATTGATATGGACGATCACATAACTGAAGATCCTCCTAAGGATGAGAGCAAGAAAGCTTGGTTGCGGAATGATGCTCGACTGGTTTTACAAATCAAGAATTCAATCGAAGGTGACATTATTTGCTTGGTCAATGAGTGTGAGTATGTTAAAGAGTTGCTTAAATACTGAGAATTCCTTTATTCTGGAAAAGGAAATGTTAGTCGAATATTTGAAGAAATCTACAAGCGCTTCTATCAACCTGAGTTTGGTGACCAATCACTTACAAATTACTTTATGGAACACAAAAGAATTTATGTAGAGTTTAATGCATTACTCCCAGATAGTAATTGTTTATGCAAGGATATGCACAACAGTGTATTTCAGATTGCAACTCGAACTCGGCCTCCGGACCGATCTGAATACTTGGGCGGACCTGCACAAAAAGGTGAGCACTCCGACGATCAAGTCAGTATAGGTCGGATTCTCAGTTTAGTTC